TCAAAGTGGGGAGGTTTGCACCCCATCCTTTGAGCCATAGCCAAACACTGCCATTAGACACGAAGTGAGCATGGATGTTTGTCCTGTAGCTCCTCATGTCAAGACCATAAAGTCATTCCTAGACAGGTTTTATCTGAACACATTACACTGCAAATGGAACAATCTCACCAAAGTACAGCCCGTCACAAGAACAACCTCTCTCTGAAATTAATTGTATTTTGCTTTTTGTTAATTTTTGTTTCACCCTCATGAAACAAAAGCCAAAGCCAAGAAGTGCCAGTGTTCCTTATTCAGATATGAATTCAGTAGCATTCAGATATGCATACTGTACCAAAGTGCCTTCACGAGCAGCAGGATAAATCCCACAGGCTTGGGGTGTGTGCCTTTTTTATTATTTATTTCCCCTTCCTTCCAAGGAATTGGCTTTGCAGCACTTCAGATAAACATCCATTTGAAACAGAGCTGTCTGCAGCTGCAAATTATCTTTGTGGCTTTCATCACCATTTTGATGAGAGCCCCAAGGGCAGAGCATCATCTGGAGCGGGGTGCCGGCAAGGGCTGATGGCAGCCAGCACTCCTGCAACGTGCACTGTGACTTAGTAGCTAGATGGCACTGAAGGTATTTTGTGGCATCTGCTTTCTCAGGTATGGCGAGGAGATGACTAATTCACCTTGCGAGTGGTAAAGCACTGCAGAGGCCTTTCTGCAACCACACTGCCCTGCTGACCCCAGGCCAACCCCTGGCACTGCTTCTGAGCGCTGTGAATGCAAAGCTGGACCTTAGTTCCTGTTGTTTCAGTGATGCTCCTTTCTCAGCAGGTGCTGGTGCTCGGGGTGCACACTGGTGCTCAGGAAGGGACTGATTTTCTGCTGTTATGGGAAGTGTCTCAGAGTGACCTGGGTGGGCTCAGCTGCCTGGCAGAGGTACTCCTGACCTACTTGAGTGCACCGAGGAGTACGGGAAGGAAGAAGAGGGTCACAGTGCTGCATAGAAGGAGCAGTGCGTCTGATTGACCTAATTCTGGTCTTTCTTGTGCTCTTTTAACTCCACAGGCTTCAGCAAAGGTGTGCTGCTTTACACCAGAAGAAGCTGACCCGATTTCTGTGGCCTGCTTGGGCTGTGGTGGCATCAGTGTCAGTCACAGGGCTCAGCACAGATGTGGCCAAATTGGGACCAGGGAGGTGCGGGCCTTGAGAAGCAGCAGCCCTGAACTGGGTTGGCACTTGGTAGATGGGGTGCTCTACCCACAGTGTTCCTTAGGAACTCACCAAAGATTAGCGAGAAGCCCACAGCATGGGTTGGAAGAGACCTTAAAGCCCACCCAGTTCCAACCCCTGTTGTGGGCTGGCTGCCACCCCCCAGATCGGGGTCCCATCAGCCTGGCCACTCAGAGAGTGGTCAGGCACTGGAATGGCTGCCCAGAGAGGTGGTGGAGTCGCCGTCCCTGGCAGTGTTCAAGAGGCATCTGGATGACGTGCTGCGTGATATGGTTTAGTGCTAGTGGTGGCAATGGTGATGAGGAGATGGTTGGACTGGATGATCTTGTAGGTTGTTTCCAACATTGTGATTTTATGATTCTATGATTCTATGGCCTTCAGCAGCTCCAGTGTTGGGGCACCCACAGCCTGTGCCAGCGCCATGAAAGAAATGTGCTTCATTTCTGGAGGCAGCTGGGATGGAGACACATGGGTTTATTACTGCTGGCAACGACCTAATCGACCCCGGTGCCTGATAATGCCTTCACATATCTGTGTGGGGTTTCCAGAGTGGCTCTGCATCCTTTGGGATTTGGATGAATTTTACAGCTCTAATCAGACACCTCTATTACACATTTCTGCTCTTTCTACCCAAAATGTTTGACAAGCTCAGCTGCTAAAGGAGATCTGTAAAATTTGGGGACCGAGCTGTCAGCTCACCCGACAGCCTCGTCACCGCCTGGCCACTAATGAGGGTGGGGATGTGCCAAACAGAACAGCCACAATGAGTCAGTGACATTCCCTGTGCTGCCCACTGCCTTCCAGAAGGAAAAGAGACGCCGAGAGGAAAATCAGAAAGAAACCTTTTTTCCTATCCGATTATCTGATGTCTGCTCTGTGCCATTTATTTTTAATAGTGATGTGACACAGCTTAATGTTACGTCAATTAAATTGAACTGCCAGGGGATGCAGTGATCACCCATCACCGCAGAGCTGCCGCAGCTGCCCCACATGAGTCTGGGCAGGGTGGAGGAAGCTCTCCCCCAGTGAAGTGATTCATTTCTCCCACACGGGATTTGCAGGAATTTCACAGGAAATTAATGATTGGATAACGTTACGATTAAGGACGAAATAAAAGATTTGGTTCCTAAACTTTAATATGTATTTTAATATTGCTTCAAAATAGCACCAGGTGTCTCCCCGCAGCTCAGAGAAGGGGCATTCTGGGAATCACGAAGGGTTCATCTCAAAGGGTGCCAAGGATGGGGAGGCTGAGCTCCGGGTTCCCATTGGGCATCTCCAAGCCCCCATATCACAGTGCTGAGTCACTGCTGACTGCAAAAAAACAGTGTGCAGGGAGGGCAGATGAGCCTCATTCATGGGCACTAAATCAACGCACACAAAGCTCCTGCAGGATTGCCTCCATCAGAAAACTACTGCACAAGTAATTTTACTAATAGAATTTTGAAAAGCCCAAATGCTTTGCACAAAAAAAAAAAGAAAAAAGAGGGATGATCTACAAATAAATCACCTCTCAATATCAACACAGCAAGAAAAATTCATTAAGTGCTTTTTAAAAGTGCTGGCTCTGACTCAGCAGATCTTTTTCAGATGTTCCTCTCAAGCAAACCTAAACATCAAATAATAACTGTATAAAGGCAAATACTATAACAACTCTGGAAACACATTATGCATCTCTTCCTTTGATAGAGGTCTCTGTGCTTTTATGAAATGTTCATTATCAGTACTTCCTCCTATATCTGAAAAAGAGACAGCGGTGCTTTGCTGGCAGGGAACGGGGCCGACAGGGCAATATTTCTGATAGGCTGATGTTATGAAGCCATCCTTCACATTCCTGGGAAAATGATCTCTGTTATTGAAATTAAAACCAACTTGGAGAAGATTTCCTGCTTTTATAACAGATTCAGCTAACGTTCTGTTTTCTTGTAATTTATATTAATAATAATAGCTCCAATATTTTAATGTATTTCAACAGTTTCAGCAGCTTTATGGGGTAGGATCACTATTATTTACTTGAGCAACTGGCTTTATGGAATAACTGCAGCTTTCAGGGAACGGAGATAGATGCTGAAATGAAGGAAAATAAAACACAAAATGGGTTCTCACCGCTCGCATCGGACACAAAAAAAACAAAGAGGAGAAAAAGGAGAGAACATATATTTGAAACATGGACACTAGAAGCCATTCCCTCTGGACTAAATGGGCCGGTGCTTTTGTATGTCATTTTCAGTGAGACTGGAACAAATGTGGAGGAGATCATGGAGCAGCCCAACATTGGTGTCCAGGAGACAGGCCCCATCCTCTGCCCTACTTCCTACTCTGTGCTTCTGGGAGGAGTTTGGGGTTTTTAGCTCCCAGACCTCAGTATAAGCATATCTCCTGAGCAGAGCTGCCCACAGCTGTGAGCAGACTCTGCTCTGCGCCCTCGAGCTCCAGGAATGCTCAGGGATCCCATCCAAAGTCCCATGGAGTCAAGGGGCTCCTCTTAGTTCCAGAGCCAGGAAATACATTCTTAAAAGCTGAAACCAGTTTTATAAACACTTTGGCCTAAATCTGGAAACCTCTAAAAATGTATTATTATTTTTTCTTACTCTAATTGGAAACACGTGCGTCCAGTGCTCTGTGTTTTGGAGGCATCTGCCTTGAGATGAGTGAACGGAGCTGGAAACTCCTCCGGCCCCACAGCCATGCAGAAACAAAGCCCACGAGTGCACGCAGCAAGGGTTCAGGAGGCATGAGCCCCACTGCACAACTGCAATGGTTTTCAGATAGCAAAGGATTTGGCTATGGGATTACTGTAGCAATTAACAACGCAGGGGGAAGCTATCAAAGCTCCTCTTTCCCTGCTTGAAGATTTTCTGAAGGCAAAATACGAGAACTTTATTTATTTTCTCCATGAGAACAATGCACTTTTTTTCTTGCCATAAAGAAATCTGCAATGATTTTTCAGATTCTTTCAGATATCTGAGATGAACCACGGTGCATCCAATACAATCACATGACATTTTTCCTTCCTGAAAAGTGCAGCAGAGAAGCACTGCAAGGCTGCAAACACTTGTGAACATCCAAATGTTGCAGAGATGCCATACTTAAAACATTATGTTGGGAAAATATGGAATGAAGGAGACAATTGTCCTCAAATGATGACCCTCATCATTAAGACTACTTCAAAGTTTGTTGAAATTACTCAAAACTTGAGTTCTGAAGAAAAGATGCAATGCTTCCTTGCACCTACCAGAAATATTTGTCGCAGCGCACCAAAATGCAGATGCAAAAATGGAAACCAGAGTTCAGACTGCCTGAGAAAAGCTGACTGAGAAAACAAAGCTGTGCATTAACTCAGCACAGTCACTGTCGCTTCCCGAGTTATCCTCTCAAAATTAAGAAATCCTCAGAGCAAACCCTTCTGAAGGATTGCTGCAGCCACCACAAAGGAACCTGAACAGTAACTTGGAAGCGTTTGCCTTGTGATGTTATTCCTCAGACCCTTTAAAAGAATTGCTTCTCTTTTGCAGAAGCTCTAGGGTGACGAAGGGATGCAAACAATTTGGCATTCAGATGACTGTCATTTTCCCTCCTCACAGCTGTAGGATTTGTGCCGTTGGCACCCATTATCCTGGATAACCATACATTTCTGACGCTGCTTTTCAGCAGCGAGCTTACACTGCTCAGAATTAGTCACTGCAGAAAAATCCATGCGGTGACGGGGATGAGAAAATGAAATCATGATGAGAGGGGATGAAAAACCCAACTGCCTGAATTCAGGTCAAGAGCAGCACTGATTGATTTGGAAAAAGTCCTTTATTTATAAATATTCAGCAGTGGCGGTGCATTCTGAATCAGACACTGAAATTATAATTCTCTCTTAGATCAAACCCTGAGCCTGGTTTAAAAAAAAAAAAAATTGGCAGATGGCATCCCCTGCTCCTGGGAATGAGAAGCAGAGGGCACTGCCATGCTCACATTGCATGCCACACCGCAGCAGCTCACTTCCCATATGTAAGGTGTGGTGCTTTTCGCAGATCTTTGAGAGTAAGGAGGGACGGAACATGGAAAGTAATAAACCCAATAGTTAAGTTTGTTTCAAAAGATGATCACAAGTCACATTTCTCCATACAAATCTGTGCAGAGACAGAGGCTTCTTCTGTGTTATTTCTGACTTCAAAAGGTTTAAGCAAGGGCTAGCCATGACCCGCAGAGAGAGCTGGCTGGCAAACAGAGAGTTTGTTTCATGGCAACTTCTGAAGTTTCAAAATCTGTTGTGCTCTGCAAAGGAAACAAAATCAAAACACTTCCAATGCAATGGGGAGGCCAGTCCTGATGCCCACGATCTGAGCAGGGGCTCCTCATTTTGCAGTGGGCCTTCCCCTGCGCTCTTTGCAGCCCAGGGGGTACATCCAGGTGCCAAATGCATCAGTCCCCAGAGCGACCCATGTGTTTTGATAGCAAGTCCGTGAGGTTGTAAACCCATGGCTACTGCTGCTGCACTGCTCACTCAGGATGGTGCGCTCCCAGCAATGAGCCCTGCCAGCAGCTCGGGGGGCAGAGGCCAACCCAGATGACACATACTGTGTGCTCAGTACATCCAGCTAGCACGAACTCAGATCAGCAACACGTGACAGAGGAATGGGATCAATCCACAAGGAAGCAGCTGGAGGTGGGTTCTTCCATGTCTTATCTTCTGTGCTGGGAAGATCATTTGCCAAATTGCTAAATGAAAAATCAAAGTGAACAGGATGACCAGCAACTACAACCCACTTTTTTCTTCATGAATTGATGCAATGTTATTCCTGATCCCAGCTGCCCTGACCACTCCTGGATTCACTGCAGTGAGTTGTCCAGAAGGAAAGGAAGGATAAATCCCCACCTCCAGAACACCTTCCCAGTTGAGAGAAGTTGCCAGCTTTGCCAAGTAATAAATTCCAGGTGCACTGAGCTGTCGAAGCTCAAGAAGTGCTGGGCTGTGCTGGGCAAAACACTGCTGAAATCACCAAAAATACTGCAGCTCTCTGGGAAAGAAAGAAGGCCTTAGAACTGCAGGGGGACAGACTTCTGGTCTTCTCCTGGTTTTCTCTTGCTCTTTTTAACCTTATCTGAGCCCTACTGACTGGCAAGAGCATCGTCTGTATGAATCCAGGAAATACAAGGCAGACAAAGAGCCAAACCCTGTCAATCATGGGCAGACAGGACATGGTAACACTCTTGAAACAGGTCCAAAATTCAAAAATCCTCCCTATAAAAAGGCAAAAGTTAATTCAATCACAGAAAAGACTGCAAGCCCTCTCTGTGCCAGGTCCCCATGCTTTCATTGAGCTCTATCTTGTGCTTCTGCTCCATCATCTGCTATTCACATGACTCCACTTAGCAACCGATCTGATTAGGCTTGTTTGTGCACTGGGTGCTGTTATTTCTGGTTCAGATTAGTGCTTCCTTCTTTCTCTGTTTCCTCACACACAGCTGAATTATCTCCTTTCACCCAGAGCTTGCTGCATGGTTATCCCACTTCTGCACAGCAAAGCAGAGCATCCTTGCTGCTGCTGTTTTATGGCTTCGAAGGGAGGAAACAACACTCATTTTCATGCAAATCCCTACTGTCTGTCAGGCATCATAGTTGTCAAGCAGGTCACTAGAGGCCTACTGTGTAAAATGAAGATTACTAATTAGAGCTGGATAAATAATTTGCAACAGATAATTTATCCAATGGATTTAGATGCTTTTTTTCCTTGCAGAGTCCCTGCCAGCAGGTTGTGACTTCACCGGAGTGGCCATTGCTTGGTATGATTTTTAACTTATTCCATTCATGGCAATGGATACTGGTTTTTCACTGTTACTTTCCTGAGCCGGGTGCTCACCTGGCATTGATCTCAGGATGTGGGGCTTGTTTCCTGGCTCAGACTTCAAAAGTAAGGCTGAAATGAGTAAACACCAGAGTAGCTTTCTCCCAACACCGATTTGTGTTTCTGCAAACATCACAACATAAAAGCAGCTTGGGAAACTTCCATTAAAATGCATTTATGGAAAAAAAATGCAATGTAATTGCAAAAACTAAGTTCTACCCGGAGCAAATCTCATAGATCTCAGACAAGAGCCTGCAGCCCGTGGTTATGCAAGTCTTATGAATGAATATCACCAAAAGTAGGAAAAAAGTTATCCTGCAGGGAAAAGGGGAAGGAATGCAGCCGGCTGCCAACATCCCCAAAGGCCCTGTAGTACCCTATGCACATCCATTAAATACAGAAGGAACTGAAAATGAAAACTCGTGTTGTGACTCATTGTTATAGGAAACAGGATTGAGCAAAGCCTGACCGTGTCACTGTGACAGAAATCCAAAACATGGGTTTGGGATAATTTTGATTGACTGTTTCTCCTCAGCCCATGACAAATTCTGTTACTTTGGCTCAAAATGTTTATCTGATACAGAAGAGAGAAATTGAAGTCTTCCATTGATTTTCCTCCTGCTACAGAAACCAACGTGCTGCAAACATCAATGCCAGCTCGATGCACTCTGAGAGCATTCAGAGAAAGGTGGAGCATGAAGAAAGTAGACAATTCACCCAATGAATTAACGCCTGTGCTAACTCACACACTCATGAGAAGCCTTCAGCAACATTCACCATTTTTTAATAACAAAGGGCAAAGTCACACCTAGGGCTGGCACAGCAAAGCCCGAGTTGTGAAGGAGCTGCTTCATTTCCAGCTCATGAACAATACAGAGAACAGCCTCAGGAGGGTTAAGAGAGTTTCAATGAATGAAAAAGGACAATTTGTACCAGACTCCCCGATCCCATCTGCTGCACTATGGGAGCACGGTGTTCTCTGCGGTGACTCACCCTCCTTTGTGCTCACAGGCAGGGAAGGATGGGAGATGGCCATGCTCAGAGGGGGGAAAACACAGCCAGTGCTCTGAGCTCACCTGTTAGTCTGAGCCACCCTCAAATGAGGGCCTTTGCAGGGCTCTGTTGTGCTCAGCACACACACTGACTGAACGGTGCTGGTGGCCAGGGACATGGTGGTCCTAGGGTGGAGAAAGGAGCAGCAGTGAGGGACGTGAGCTGCGTGCTCAACTCTGCTGTGTGCCAACAAGTGCCTTTTCTATCTGCAAACAGGGAGTAACTGCTCAGCTACACAAGGTGCTTGGGGTTCCCTGGATTTCTTGAAGGCATAACTTATTATTTTGGTATGCAACTGAAAAAACAGCTGCAGGCACCCAAATGGAGCCCCAAACAGAGGCAAATCATAGAATTGTTATAGTTGGAAAAGACCTCTAAGATCACCAAGCCCACCCATCAGCACATCCCCACCATACCCACTGACTACCTCCCTTAGTGCCACATCACCACAGCTCAGTTACACCCCCGGGGACAGTGACTTCACCACTCCTTGGGCAGCCTGTGCCAGTGCACCATCACTCTTTCTGAGAGGCAATTTTTCCTAATATCCAACCTAAATTTCCCCTGATGCAACTTAAGGCCATTACCTCTTGCCCATCCAAGATCCCATCCTCCTACTCCAGATGCCAGCAGGTCTATCAGCACAGTTGTGAAGGCATGAGCACCTGGGGGTGCTTTTATACAGCGTGGAGGTATTTAACCCTTTCTATAAATAAGTTATTAAGAAAAAGTGTGTTTGATAGAGCTGAGAGAGCAGCAAACCAAATCAGGCGTAATTGTGCTAATTACCCAAAGCACAGCAACTGACTGAAGGTCTCTAAAAGAGGAGGCTGCATCCTGCCCCCGAGCAACACCTGTGTGCATGCATTAGCTCTCATTTCTAAGGGGCACCAGAGCCTGAATCTCTGTCTGGTTCTCAGCACTGCTTGTGATCTCATGCAGCTGATGCCTGGTGGCAGCCACACATCCCCATGTCCCACCCAACCCAGAGCTGTCCTCTAAGTGCCTTGGCTCAGGCTCAGCTCAGACCCAAGTGCTGCCTTCCCAGCCTCTTTCTGTGCTTTCATCCTTTGGCTGAAATCTGTAAGGAATCCCCAGGATTCACCAATACAAATCATTTATTTATGGGTTTATCGCAATGACCCAGTGAGGCTGGAGGTTGCTGTGAGGGTATTGGTGTAACACAGGGCACAGGCAGCCAGACCCCAGCACTGGGTCTTAAATACCTAAGGGTATTCCCACAAGCATTATTGCTGCGTTATTTTTTTTTTTAATGCTGAACTGTATGTTTTAGAATACACAGATGTCTTTGTTCAGAATAAACCAAAAATAGCAGATTTTCCTCTGCTTAGCTGGGTGTTAAATTATTTACATTTCAAAACCCATAAGTAGAAACAATGACTGCATTTCCAGTGCCTGCTCCTGCTGTCAAATATCCTTTTCTCTTTTGCAACCTAATTTAGACTTCCTTCTTAGAGTTGCAGCTTAACTCCATTTCCAATTACATTAAAGGAACCAAGAGTCGAGGTTGTTATCTTGCCATTTCCATGAATAGTGACTAGAGATGCTCCCCATGAAGGTGAGGGCAGCCATTGCTGTGCCCATGCAGGGGGTGGGCAATGGGTAGGCGAAGACATTCATTCCCCGTGGTCCCATTGGGCTCCCCTGCATGGAGCATCCAGGGAGAAGTGCTGAGGCTGGGTGGGATGCTGATCATGGGGCCCGGTGTGGGTCAACAGAGCTGCTTTAATAGCTGCATGAGCTGGAACCAAACAAGAAGTGCTCTCAGATACCCCATAATTTCAGCAGGCCGCCTCTTTGGCAGGCTGGCTGAGCCTCCACATCTGCCCTGCAGGGGTTGATGAACCACGGCCTCCCCGGCACCTCCCAGCTCCCCGCTCACCTTCGCCAGGTGTTGGCACCACGACTGCCAAAATCTCTGTGTGTGTGCCAGCCACCTTTGCCCCTCTTTCTCCTGGCTCCACTCCTGCGTGTGTTTCTGCTGACGCAGTTCCTGCCTCAGCCCACGGCCGTGCGAGCTGAGCCCCGGCCAAGGAGCAGCCATCTAAGCAGTGTGTCTGCCTCGGCTCACCCAAACTCATTGCATTCGTTACTCTCATGGCAGAGCAGCATCCCAGTGGTGCATGCTTTTCTTGGAGGATTATAAAAGGGATATTATGGATCTATCTGGAGTCTTTGCCTTGCCAGCCCCTGTGATTTTATTACCCATCTTCTGATATTTGGAATTTTTCATAAAGCTCCGCTCTTGGAGTAATAAGTGAGGCTCTCAGCTTTCACTGAGAAATGAAAGGAAGCTTCTAGCCTGCGTGTTTTAGAAAAGCTGGAAAATGTGCCTGAAGGCACCGACTCCAAAAGGCAAATTAAAAGAACCAATATGTTTTCTTTCTTTTTAATACAATTGTGAGTCAGGGCCGGGAATGGGGCACCACTGGTGATTTATAGGTTCTGTGCTGGCAGCTCTCCAGTCTCAGTGACGGCACTGCGCAGAGGAGTTGGGCTTTGTGAAGCTGCCCGGTGGTGCTCACCTGGTGCCATGTGGTGCTTTGGGACAAAGCACACAGAGCATCTCTTCAGGGCAGGTTCTGCAAAAGGCATGGTTTGAAATGCACACACCGCTTTATAAGCCAGCGAGATATGAAATGACTTGTACTGAGATTCAGATGGAGACAGTGCCCTCTGCATGCGTGGCAAGTGGCAGTGAATTGGGGTGGATGGCTCTGAAATTTAGAAGTGGGGGATTGGTGTGTGCTTTGGAAGGTTGATGGTTGGGGCTGCTGTTTGCGTTGTGGGCACGGCTTTCTCATCCAAGGCATTATGGACAATGAGATGAAAATAATCACTGGCATACTGATGGCCCCATAACACCAAAGCCATGGCAAACACTGTACTAACCAGGTGCTCCTCTGTGAGGAGGCAGTGCCTTTGCAATCCCAGTGCTGCACCTGTTCCATGTTTGGTGCACACACGTGTTTGATTTTGGAAGAAATGCACAAACTGCCCTTCCCACTTTGTGATAAAAGGACTACAAAAGGCACATACACTGTGCCAGCTGAGTTACGGGCTCATGAGGAGGTGTCAGTAAAAGTTTGCTGACTATGAACACCTGTACCAGGCAAGCTTGGCTTTGTAACAGGTGAGCATAGTGGAGGATGGGTCTCTGCATGGGCTGCCCATGTCCTCTTGGTTTTGGAGAAAACACTTGATGGTAAAGCTGTGAACACTTCCTCTCCAAGCATCTCTTGGGGTGTTGGTGCCACAGCACAGCCGTACTACAGGAAGCAGCAGAACCACAGTGAATGTTTGCCAGCAGAGCTTCCATACGGAACAGAGCTTCCATAGGGCTTGGTCCCAAATCACAGAGCTGCCAGCAAACCCCTACATGTGGGCATTCTCCAATGGGAACATCTCACCACACCTCCCCAGCTGCAGCAGGGCTCCTGCTGGTACCAGTCCTGTGGGGCCGGTACGGCTGAGCAGGGAACAGTGAGCAGCTCCACCTTAAGCTGCAGCTCTGTCAGCGCTCTGCTGGCCTCCTGCCATCAAAACCGCTGCAGGCTGAGCGGTCATCAGAAGAAAGTGTGTGCTTTGCGTGGGGAGGGGGTGGTCAGGCGGCCGTTTCTTCATTGATCTTTCAATTTTAAAAGCTTATTTCTGGGGTGGCTTTATTTGTCCCCCCTTCAACACAAGGCATTTCAAATTGATTTGGCAACTCTCACACCACTCCTCACAAAGGTAACTGTGCTAAAGAGTCCCCCTTTACCAGCACCCCAAACAGAGAGCCCCAGAGCTGCCCGGAGTCATGGGGACTCTCTGGGTGCCCCTGCCCTTGCCACAGCCCCCGAGTCCCCAGCCCTGCTCTCTGTTTTCCATCCTGCACTTCCCGCTAATCACACCATCAGTACTGGTGCTGATTAACCACCTAGGTCTCCATTTAATTAAAACATAAACCCTTTTGGAAGAGCCAGAGGTTGCAGACAGATTTTATTCCTATCATCCCAGATTGGATTGGCATTAGCCATCAATACTGGGGGAACCAAAGCAGTTCACCCTTTCCCTGACTGTGTCAGATACATCACCAGCTGTTTGCTCAGTGACGTTTTACAAGTCTGAGGATCTCCCATTATTGAGCCACACATTCACAGGGTCACTCTTTTTCATTAAAAGACTGTGCAAAAAACCACACCTGCAGAGAAAGCCAACACAGCACCAATGTCATAATGTAGGGAAAGCAGTGCAGGGGCAGCTCCTGATCCAAGAGCAAGGCGGGTCACAGGGAATTGGTCTGGCTTAGGATAGGATCTGGTTCTCTGCCTTAGCAGGTCCCTTGGAGCCCAGCACTAAGCAGCCCATGGGGCTTGCACACTCCTGGAAGGGCTTAAAAAGGTCCCATGTTGCAGAATGCTGGCAAGCAGGAATGTAGGGTGTGGAGGGACGTGATCACTTGCAATTAACTCCGAGCAACAGGCATGCAACAGAAAGCCTGCTGTGTTTGCTTTGCTGTGAAATAAGCAAGAACTTTGCTCGTTCCTGGCTGTGCCCAGGAGGACATTGCAGCCCCATGTACCAGACCCGCACACAGTCAGGACACTGCAGACAGGGCTCACTTTTGTCAGTAATGCTTCAGTGCCTCATTACCAACCTCAAAAGTATTTGGCTGTAGTTTACTTTTGAGGTTTGGGCTGAGGCCAGAGACTCCAGCAGGAAAAGTCAAACCTAAACAGACGAGTTCAGGTTCAAACTTCCCCAGCCCGGCCACGGGGCGTTCCCCACTGGGTGCAGGGGGAGCCCTTCTGCAAGGCATGGCTGCACAAAGGGCATGGAAGGCATTTTCCAGCAGCAGCTAATGGCCCATATTTCATCTTGCAAAAAAAAAAAAAGCCCCAAAAAAACCCAAACAAAACAAAGCTAATAGCTTGCTCCTCAGTATTTCGCTGTGATAGCAACCTTTGCCTGTTCGGATTTATTTTCTTTCTTCACCCACAGCTCATGGACCCATGGGTTCCTGTTGAGTTTAAGACACTGCAGAACTTTGTGCTCCAGATATTGCTTTCATCAGGAATGGCTTCCTGTCCACAGCAATGCCCTCTCTCCTATAACTAGAAGAGGAACCTGGTGCCCCCATCTCTCCCTGCATGGGGATGGGATGCTGCTGCTCAGCCCTTGGGTCAGGTCCCCAAAGCAGTGTCTAACCTCATGGCTGGAGCTGTTGGCTGCCCCCTGCCATGTGCAGCTGCAGCTCCCTGCACCCCGGGGAAGCTGTCACCTACAGGGAGACATCGGCTCTCCCTGTGCTGATAGCACCTTTTTTTCTGCTTGAATTGCTGCAACATCAGCCAAACAAGGAGGGACTGCAAACAGCCACAGAAAGCAGGGGAACTCCTAGGTCTCAGCATGCCGGGAATATCCAGCTGCTGTCTGGAACAATACAACAAATGCCGTCGGTTCATTCCTGCAGCCTTTGACACATAAATTCGGTAACTAACCTGACCTGTGGCTGCTTCTCTGAGAGACCAGCCGAGACATGACAAATATGCCTCTCAGCATACCAGGGCTGATTACGGCAGCCTATAGGAATAGCTCAGAGCCGCGTGGTTACAGCAGGAAAAACCAGCGTGCTCTG